TAATATAATATAATAGTAAACTATAAAAATATTAAACTATAAAACTAATATAAATATAATAAAAATAAAATAATAAAATATATTTTTAAAATTATTAAATCCAATAAATGATTATATTATATTAGTTATTTATAATAAAAAATCTGTTATAAAATAAATTAATAAAATTTAATAGTATAAAATTAATAAAATATAAATAGAATTCTAAAAATTATATTTAAATATTTTATATTTTAAACTATTGGTTTGAGTCTAAAAATAATTATGGATGTACCATTGATAATTATGTACCATTTATGATATTCAACCTTGCCCATCGAAATTATGGTTACAATAGGAAGAAATCGTCAATTGCGCTTCGATCGCTGTATAATTTCAATATTGAAGATATGTGTATTCGATTTTGTATATAATTTAAAGTTATATATACTTTGCATTTAATAAATGTTTTATTAGTGAGAACAGTGCTGATTTCGGATTAACTTTATTGCATCATTATTTTATCAATTTAACTAATTAAAAACCTTAATAGAATCTATTTTATCCAATTTTTATAGTTGTAAGTGTTTTTGGGAAAATATTTTTGGCATTCAAAGATCAGATTAATTTTTAAAAAAGATTAATTTTTATCATATCCATTTATGTTAAATTTTTTTATTATTGATATTTATATTATTTTTAGACTTATTTAATTTTTATGTTAAATTTTTTCCTTATGTTTTAAATCTTTCTGAATTTTTTTTTGAAAATTAATAATTTACATTATATTTTTTGCAAATTAATCACTCGTTTCGTAGTGAGACTTAACAATTGGAATCGCTTTCCAAAGCATGATTAGTTCCAAAGGCTATGATTAATTTTATTATAAATATTATAATATTAAAAAATTTATTTAAAGTAATGTCAAAGAATTGCGCATATCAAATTTAATTCAGACTTTGCAAAATTTTTTTTGAATATTTTGGTTATATAGATTGGATTATAAATATCTTATTATTTGTTGTAGGATATTATGGGGTTTTTCATTATCAATGAAATTCTAATATGATTATTATATTAAGATGAAAATGTTTGCTTAATAATAGATTTTTTGATTGAATCATAATCGAAAATATTAATTATGAGTTTAATATTATATATATATTCTTCCAATATAAAATATAAAAAAAAGTTATTTTTATACATATAAAAAAAATTTCGTTTTTAGTAATATTTTGATGTTATATATATTTTATTATTATATTATAACTATTTTAAATTAGATATATTATAATTATAATTATAATAAAAAATTACAAAAAAAGATAGTTTGGCAGAGGAAAAGTAAAGACTATCATATGTGAATTATTTGCATTGATTTCATCCCACTTATTTATCTTCGAGATCTCTTTCCACATTTCTGTATGTAGAGGAGAAATTCCGCTTAACCAAACCTGAAAATATATTTTTAAATATTTTTACAATATATTATTACAATATTATTCTTTATATTTAAACGAAAAAAAAATATATCAAGTGATTCTCTCTTATTTAATAAATTATTTTTATTTTGAAAACACAAGTATTATTTCTAATATTAAAAGAAACCTTTTCACAATGTTGTGCCCATATAAGAATCAATTTATTTTCCATTTTTTCGCATACTTTTTTTACTTTTTTTAACATCTTTATTGCTTTACTTTTTTGTGATTTTATCATCCAATAATATGCTTTTAATAACATATATCTGTAATTTCAAACATTTTTTTTCAATTTCATAATTTTATTTATATATTTTATAATTGGAATATTAGTTTTATATACCTGGGAATTGTAATTATAACAATCTTGGTCACTTTTTTTGCATATTTAAACATATTTTTTATTTCTCTCATAGTAATAGTTGCAGCTATATTTCTGGTGTTTAATTTATGCACTATATCGAAATTTTATTATAAATTTTATTATAAATAATATATAATTTATTAAATTATCTTATAATTTTACAATAAATTCTTTTAATAAAAATTTATACCATAAAGAATTAATAGCCCTTCGAGTTTTTTTAAAAAAGTTATTGTTGCTACTACTATATGTTCATCTATAATGGGGGTTTCTATGAATCTATTTCTCCATACTTTTGCAGCATCCCATTGTTCAGTTCTAATGCACCTTTAAAAAAAATATAACTAATTTTTTTTTATCAATTATTAATTTTTATAATTAATGTCAATTGTTTCAGTTATTTTAGAGAACAACAAGAACAATCATTTATATCCGCATACCATAGCCACATGCATATGAAATATCGATTTTCTGCTTCTGGATTGTATAAATTTATCATTCGTTCGCCCTCATGAAGAAAATACTGTTCGCAAATTTGAAAAGATATAATTGACATTCCAGTATCTAAATAAATATCAGCGCAAAGTGCATAGTACCAAGTACGTCCAGATTTATCAAAATGATCATGGGATACAAATTCTAGAAAATCGTGGAAAAACATTTACAAAAATGATTTTATTACAACTGGTATTTAAATATCGTAAATAAATCATTACCCAATTCTCTTAATTGAGTGATTGCTTCCGAGAGTCGGCAAGACGATAATAACAAATGAATTAATCGTGGTAGCATTAATATTTTCAAGGATGTGGATCCAATCGTAGTGGCTATTCTATTAGTAATGAAACCAATGTGGATGGCTTTCGCACAGTCTGCTCTTAACCATCGAGAAAAAAATATTGCCGCATAAAGCCGAGCGATCACTTTCAATTCCTGAGCTTCGAGAAATCTTGTCTTCTCACTAGAAATAAGAATACCCTTCTCTTCTAAATAAGGTATGATATATCTGGAATTGAGTAAAAAATATTGTTAGAATATCATATATGTTATATATATATCCTATCGTGTTATAAAAATTCTCACCTATCTTGATACATATGTGCAGTGATTAACATATTGCTGAGCGATATACAGAGAGTACGTGTATCCTTAGTAGATAGATCCAAAGCTGTATTCAAACTCCAAATTGCTGCTAAACGAGCGTGCTTCTTCATTCCTTTAATCTATACAATAAGAGCGTAAATGTGTGCTAACTTCAAATAATTTTAAAAAAAACTCAACTTACCCTGTAGAGTTTAAACATTTGTATCAAACATGTTGCTAATTGTTTAGTATAATCCTGATATTCCTCTTCGAAATATTTAATATCTTTCATAAAAACGAATTTTAATTTCAGATTCAATAACTGCATTATCGAATTTATATCGATCATCATTTCAAGTTTTGGAAATTTATATCCTAAATTGAACATTGCCTTTTCGAATAATTCTTCAGCTTCAAAAATAGAGCCGGTTTCAAGAAGACATTGGCCTTGAAGAATTTGTATTTTTGCAGCAAAATAGGGGAAAATAACCATTTCATTTTCGTTCGATTCAAGTAGCTTTAGATAGATAAGATTATATTATTTTTATTAAGTATTTCGATTAATTTTAAAGAAAGAAATTTTATAGATATTCAATTTTTAGAAAAGAAATTTTAGAAATTTCAATACCTTTTCGAGGACACTTTCGCTTTCTTTTAAAAGCTTTCTAGCTTGCGGTATATTGAAAGAAATTATACAAATTTCTGCAAATTCTAAAAGAGCAGTTAGTATTACGTCCAGTTTTCCTAAATAGAATGTTTTAATGGCATATATTAATATATATTATGTTAATTGCCAATTAAGAGTATTTTAAGAAATATATTTACCAATACCACGACAATGATCAAGCATTTGAGTATACGTAGTCATCAATATCAGATCACATAGGCAATTGGAAAAATCCAAGTCCGAAAATGTGAGTGTTGGTTTTCTTTCGATAGTTCGAAATATGTTCATACAAGTAAGAAATATCTTTCCTTCTATTATTTA